TAGTATTGCGATTATATATACGTTCGCGTAATGTAATTGCAAATTTAACTCTAAAAAGACTCGAGGGATGTGTCCGCCCAACTTCAATCAATTTTTCTTAATAGCGATAAAGCGTTATTAATTATGGACACGTTCGCGTGACATGATTTTTGACGCGCCAAACCAATGGGTACACGTACGCGTGACCCATTTCAAGATAATTTTCTTAATCAAAAAGTGGTAAAGGGTAAGTACACATAGGATCTAAAGTCAGTAATTAAACAATTGTAATAAGCCAAGTATGATCAAAGCGACCGTGCTAGAACCACGAAACTCGGGAATGCCTAACACCTTCTCCTGGGTTAACAAAATTCCTTACTCAAATTTCTGGTTCGCGGACTGTAGTATAGGGTCAATCTTTTCCTCGATTCGGGATTTAAACTGGTGACTTGGGACACCCTAAATTATCCCAAGTGGCGACTCTGATTTTTAATAAATAAACAATCCCGTTTCGATTGTCCTTTAATTGAAAAAACTCGCTTGTATTTATACCCTTTGCAGGGTGTAAGTAAAAAAGGAGGTGTGACAATTACTCACTGAGTTGGAGTACTCACTTTAGTCCCTGTACCATGTGTGCAGATTCAGGTATTTCTTGACCCGGTAGCGGGTATTGGTTGATCAGAGGCAGAGTCTAGCAAGGTAGCTGTCGGCGTCCGCAACACTGCTTTTCTCCCTCTTTATTTCATATGCCTGTACTCAGTACATTTTAGACTTTTCAGCTGTAGTTGGACCCTAGTAGATGCTCGTGACTTGTGACACCCCGGTTAGGGCTGTGTTGGATTGTATATCCGGTGCTCATTATTATTAAATCATGATTAGACTGCTCTTATATTGTTTAACTGTTTTAAATAGTGAAATGGGTCTAATTGGTTGGCCTTGTCTTCACGAGAGGAGCCATCACGACGGGGTTCGGGGTTAGGGTCGTGACAGTGTTATAAATCAAAATCAAAAAAAGAAGAAGATATTTTGCGTTTTTATATTTCCATTAGAAGTTTTCTTTAGAATACTAATTTTAGGAATTAAAAAAAAATTCATTTGAGGTGGTTTTTCCTTTAGGCAATTAATATCTAGAACTTAAAATAAAAATTATTTTTATATTTTCTTTAGTATTTTAGGACTAAAAATTCAAAAAAAGAAAGAAAAAGAATTTTCTTTTAGTACCTCTTTAAAAGTTTTCTTTAAGATATTAATTCCAAAAATCCAAAAGGATTTTCTTTTGAGGTTCTTCTTTGAGAAATTAACGAAAAATGAAATAAAAAAATTCTTTTATTTTCACTATAACTTTAGGACATTGTACATAGAAGAAAAACAACATACTTTTTCTTTGGTTTATTTTCAGAGTTTCTCCCTTAGGTAATTAAAAATTGAAATCCAAAAATATTTTTTTTTATCTTGTTCATTTCCCGTTTCAAAATCTTTCCTCAGGCTATCCAATGAAAATTTAAAATATTTTCTTTGGTTTATTCTTTAGATTTCCTTCCTAAGAAAAAAAAAACAATCAAAAAATATTTTTTCTCTTCTAGGGTTTTTTCCTTAATAATTTCCCATAGAGTATTTGTTTCAAAAAGAAAAAAAAGAAAAAATATATGCTCGTTAAACTTGAGTTTAGAATAGGTTGTAGAACAGTAAGTCTAGGAAAAAATAAGGATTTGCTTATTTTATTTCTCTTTTCTCATCAGAGTAGTCATTAAGGTAAAAAAGAAAAAAAAAGAAAAAGAGAATGTCAATTTGTTTATTTTATTCGCGATCTTCCCAAACTACGCAAAGATCTGATTCATGCAGCGTCATGATACGTAGGCAACCTACGTAGGGTTCGATCGAATAATTTTTTTATTAAAAGAAAAAGGAAAAGAGAAGGAAACAAAAAAGGGTGAAATTATGGGATGTGAGAAATGAGAGGAAACAAAAGAGCGATAATCAGAAAGAAAAAAGGAAGGAAAATGAGCAAGCCAAGAAGTGCCAGAAAAGAAAAAAAAGAGAAGATTGAAATGAACAAAATTGGGATGATGCCAAGTGACCTTATGACTCTCGAAGTCATTCTAGAATCGTTAATTGTTGTTAGGTGCATTGCACGCAATGTGATATTTTTAGCTGTTAAATGCCTTAATGCTAACAAGATGACTTCATTTTGTTCCTCTTGTTATTTTCATTATAGCAGAAGGGTGGTTGGTTTGTGGTTCTTAAACTGGTAACTCTTTCATACAACACAAGGTCAAAGAGCAAGGTAGCCATGGCTAGCAAAGACGTGAATACAAGGGTTATTGATCCGTCTAAGGGAATTGTTGAATCAGAATCTGAGTTGAAAGAAGAGGTCTTAAAGTTGAAAGGACAGATGGCCGAAATATACCAAGCTTGGATTAGTGTGCGTCCTCCACCATCAATTCCCACTAACTACACTGAAAGCCTTGTCACCATTCCGCCACTGTCACAAGTCCAGGATATCTCCTCACAACCTTTTCACACTCCACCCCCCATAACTACCTCATATCTCACTCCTTTGGCCACTCATGTTTTTGTAGCTCATCCACCAGCTACCTTTCCTCGATCCTCTAGCGAGACTGTGTTCAAAATCCCCGATGCCCAACACTATGCTCCAGAACCAACTTTCAAGGTCTCGGATCCATACTCTCACACTCCTTATTTTGAGCCTCCCGATGAGACTACAAATCCTGCTAAGAAAGTGGAGCAAGATGAGATATCTAGAAAGCTGAAAGTGTTTAAGATGCCAAAGTTTAATTTGTATGATGTGCATGGAGATCCAGTAGCCCATCTGAGGGGTTATTGTAGTGAAATAAGAAGTGTTGGCGGGAAAGATAAGTTGCCGATGGCGTATTTCAGTGAGAGCCTGACTGGGGCAGCTTTGGAATGGCATACTCGTCAAAATATCGGTAAGTGGCATACATGGGATGACATGGCTCAAGATTTTGTGCAACACTTTCAGTATAATATAGACATTATCCCAGACCGCTCCTCCCTATCTCAAATGGAAAATAAACCCAAGGAAAGTTTTAGGGAGTTTTGGCTAAGATGGAACGAACAAGTTGCTCGGGACAGTCCTCCCATTGATAGAAAAGATGTTGCTGAGCCCCGCCAACGACAGGATCTAGTGGGCATTCCTGCTAAACGCTTTCAGCCTGAATATCGACCCCATGAACATCCCCAAACTCCACATAATCCACACCAGTATTATCCTCCGAACAACATCTGGCCATCTATCCAACCACTGGGTCATTCCTCATGGCGAGTGCCAGCACCTCATAATGCACTTTTGCCTTCACAACATTTTCGAGCATCCAACAACCATAGGAAACTTGTGCATAGAGGGGAATAAAGGCAAAGAAATAGTTTCACGCCAATCGGGGGGTCCTATACAAGCTTGTTTGAGAAGTTAAAACATTTTGGTCTGAATGAGCCGCTCCTCGGCTATAAGCCAGACCCATATACAGAAGGTTTTGATCCTACTGTACAATGCATGTACCACTCTAATGTCCAAGGTCATAGCATTGAAGATTATTGTGCTTTGAAAAAGGAAATAGAAAGACTGATTCAAGAAGGGATAATTGTGATCCAGGACAGTGACACCCAGCATATCGTGCGTAATCCTTTACCTGCACATGATGATGCACACTTTGTGGGGATGATGCGTGGTGACATGGAGCATGAAAATTCTCTTGGGAACTTGTTGTCTAAAGTTAATGATATTGAAACTGGTAATGGTCTTGGTAATATTGATGTGGAACTCAGTGGCTAAGATGCCGAGCTTGGTAATTGGAAAGACGCTCCTTTCTTGGCTAGCCAGGGAGGATTCTTGGTGGTTCATTTTATTGTTATTTCTGTTGTCCAGGTTATTTCAGGGTTGTAATCCGGATATTGTCTTGTGACTCAAACCCTTCTATCATTTTATTTTGCCTAGTTCCTTTAGTCGTGGTAACTCATTTAGTGTTATCTAGGTTTGTTCCAGGGTTGTACCCTAGTTTATTTTGCTTGTCTTGTTGTTCAAACCCTTTCACCATCCGTCTAATGCAATTTTCTGTTTTCTGTTATTTCTGGTCATATTTGTTTAGTTCTCTTTTCCTTTTATAATTCTTTTCTGCTGGCTCTAGTGACATGACATGCACACATAATTCTAGACCTGGTCTTAAAAGTTAGTTTAATCAGGAAGCAATGAAATAATTTTGAAGATGATAGGGACACTTGAGGGAAATAAGTACAGATGTGGACATTTTGAGATCATTTGAAGCCCGAACCATATGAAACTGGGGCAGATAATTTAGAAAGTTAATAGGATGACAAGAATTCGTTAAATTAAGTTTCATGTTTTAATAGGATCCCAAAAATAGTTTCATGTTTTAATATAGTTTAGTTCAATTAATTAAGATTAGTTTTATATTCTTATATTATAAATTATATAATTTTAGAAGGAGGAATTAGTTTTGGGTTGGTTTATTCCGTCTTTATGAATTTTGTAGTTTTTTTTGTTAGTCTTTGGCCCAATTTTAAGGCCCAATAATACCAAACCCATACCTGTTAACCTAAAAACCCTTCTATATAACCAAAACTAGTCTAAAAATACCCTAGACCTACAGGGATACAATCTGCCGTTTTTTGACTTGAGAGAAGACAAAAATGGCTTCAGTCATCTTCTTCATCAAAAGGACCTAAGGAGCGAACAAATAGACCAAATATATTTCCAGTACCTTGTTTTTTCATCTTGTCTCGAAGCCATCACTGACTTTCTATGACCCCCATCGACTCCTTCTTCGTCCCTTCTTCAACGAACACCCACTGAACCTAGGAGCTGAACCCTAGAAATTCCGTCACCACCACACCCTTAACCAGTGACCACCTCGACGATGCCCGGCGAGCTCGCTGGAAAATGAACCAGCAGCCATACACGCACACGCATAGAAACGAGAAAGGGACATTAGCTGCGAGTTAGGTTCGACCGAGGTTCTAGTCGCCTGGTTCATTTCATTATTGTCTCATTCAAATTCTGACAGAATCCGGTTGGTTTTCCGTCGAAGTTCCTGTTTGTCCGGCGAGGAGTTCTATTCCAGTGTTCCGGATCCATTTCGGCGTATGCGTGCTCGTAAGAATTTCTGTGTTCATTGATCTATTTGTTTTTTTTCACACTTTAATTATCACTTTGATTTGATTTTAAGCGGTTGTAAGTAATGCACTGGTATTTTAGGATGAGCTTCTGTTTCACAATTTAATGATATCTGCTACAGCATTGATCAGTCTCAAATGTATTCCTTTGTAAATTCGTTGATTTCGTTGCTAAAGTGTTTGCTTCTTGCAATATTGAACAAGTTGTGTTAGTGCAGAATGCTTTGTATACTCTTCGCGTCAATGTTTTTGCTTGCCATAGGAATATCTTGTTCATTGTTAATTCTAAATTTCAACCAAGATATAACTAATATATAGAATTAGGGAATTAAAAAGATTACCCTTTGTCTCTTATGCTAGAAATGAGGAATCGTGAATATAGTACTAAATTGTTGTAGACAATTAAGAAAATTAGTCATTGTCTACTTTATGATTGTTAATGTGAGATTAATAAATCATCGTGGTTATGGGTACGGTTCCGGTGACATGGTCACGATACGTAAATCTCATCCGGGTGTGCATTTCATGTGACCCGACCACAACTTGGAATAGTAATAAAATAAACATGGTAAATCCGGGTGTGCATTTCATGTGACCCGATTATAATTTTCAACAAGGTTAAATAGAATGTGTCGTGAACCGCGGGTGCATTTCATGTAGCGTGGCTTACGACGTATTTTAAATAACCCTGAATTTTCCTCAAATATTAAAAGCGGCTAAACAGTTAAAAATGCACAATAGGTTTAAAACGTGTAAAAATCAGATAATTAGGCCAATAATAATAGTTGAGCGACCGTGCTAAAACCACAGAACCCGAAAATGCCTAACACCTTCTCCCAGGTTAACAAAATTCCTTACCTGGATTTCTGTGTTCGCGGACTGTAAAATAGAGTCAAACTTTCCTCGATTCGGGATTTTAAACCGGTGACTTGGGACACCATAAATTATCTCAAGTGGCGACTCTGAATTTTAAATAAATAATCCTGTTTCAATTGTCATTTAAATTGGAAAAAACTCCTGTATATCTTCCCGGGTAGTGAAAAAGGAGGTGTGATATCATGATTAAATACTTTATTATCACTATTACTTTTTAGTTAATTATGGATGAATTAGGCAAGGAAGACTATTGTGAACATATGAGATTGAACCATATTAACTTGCTTCTTGTTGTTGGTTATTTAAGAACTACAAGATGAGGAAGAAACTTATGATCTTTAATTGGAATATGTCAACAATGTTAGTATTGGAGTTTATCGGCACATGTTATCATTCAGATTGTTATAATTTATTTATCACCATTCTTTTTGACTTCTATTTTTCTTTTTCTCACATATGCCCCAAAGATTTCACTCTTAGTAGATTGGTTTCAATACATTATTTTTTTAAATGAAACTACTGATCCTTCTCATATATTTTTTTACCTTCACACATCTAAGGTTAATGTAAACAATCACAATACAATAATGAGCTTCACATGGTAACCTAAAAGAGATTTCATCAAAAGGAGGTGAAAGTAGAAATGATACGGGAACAAATCGAAAGAAATTCTAAACAAGTATAAACATATAAAATGGGTGAATGCAGTTATATACTTAATTACTTATTAAAATACAATATAATTAGAAACTTAAAAATTATTGACAAACAGAATACGATCCACCAATAAAATTATGAATAACTGAAAGAGAAAAGAACAACAGATAATAAGGAATAGTGACTTTTTAAATCCTCTTGAAGCGAGTTTCCTTCACAAGTGGTGAGGAACTTTTTTTAAAATATCAAAGCTATTGTTTTTAAGTTGTGACCTATTCAACAAAAAGTTAATATACAAATACATGGATTCTTCAATCACATTCCGCTACGAAATTGTAGATGGAATTCTAGTTGAAGTCAAAGTTCTTAATTTTACAACTTTATCTAATATTTACTATCCATAATAATAATTTTACTTTTTTAAGGGTACTAGTATCTATGAACGTGCGTTGCACGTTAATAATAACACGTGATGATTTAAATATTTATTTATATGAAAAATAATAAAATTTAATTAATAAGAGAAATTTTATGAATAATAATATAACAATCATCTAAATGCCAAAAAATATTATTAAATTAGCATAATACATAAATTTAAAATAAAAGGACATCACCAAAACTTACACAAATGATCAATTGTGTCATGTTAGTTAAATAATTATGTATTATAGCTTAAAAATATTTAATGTAATAGTATCTTAACGAACACTTATTCGTGGATAATATTTTTTTGTGTATGTTTCCTCCTAATGCTTTGGTTGCTCTACCTTAACCAAAACTCTTGTTGTCAATCTTAATATCCCTCTTGAAAGTGCAACATACAGTTATTTGTGCAAGAAAATATATTGCGGTAAATATGTCCAATATTTAGGATGTTTGTTCTTGTGCTTGATTTATTACACTTGCAAAACATAAGCATACTAAAAATTATTTTCTCACAAATTTAAAAGGATATTCCTTAGTTTCGGAACGCGGAAGTTGAATTCAGGGATAAGAATATACTTAGAAGCACATTGACCAGTATCGTATTTTTTACATGTATGACATTATTGTTAAAACTTCCATATACCATATGTGTGCTATTCGGCGTATGTAAGTTTTCAGTAGCATGACAGACATATTTTTCTTCAAAATTAACCTATATACAATGGAAGATCAATTTTAACTCAGTTTATTATATATGCGGTGACACTAACATACGTAAGAAATAATAAACTTGATAACAGATATGTGTGGTAGAAGGCCATTTGGTATTAAAGTATTTAAATATTTTTCTTGGTAGTAATTATTGATATCATTTTCCGCTGAGTCAAAAATAAAAAATTATTTTATTTTTACTATAAAATTTTGCAATTAACCTTTTATTTAGTTGATCAACATATTCCTTTCTGATAGCTAAGATATTTTTTTTTAATTATATCATGCGATTTGCACAAATTGCGTTTAAATATAATGATAGAAATATTTCTATTATTAAATCCACTACTATTACTATTGGGATTGATAATCAAGTGTTCGGGAAGAACCAAATCATCTTTTATTTGATGCTCTTCTTCGTTTCCGAAAGCAAGAAGACACTAAATACTGGATCTGTTCTTACTTTATATTTCTTGTCAGTTGAATCCTTTTCATTTGAGGCCAGAAGTATAACTTTGACAAACTAGATTTTACAGTTTCAGCTTTTGTCGATTTTGGAACTACTGGTAGTACTTGACATAAATTACTTCCCAAACCATTAATTTTCTACCAAACGGTTCATTAATATCCAATATATCTCTAGAACACTGACAATTATTTTGATTGTTTGACACTTAGCCATAAGTGCTTCATCCCATATTATCAATTTTGCTTTCCTTATAAATTTAGCATCATTGCTCTGCTTTGATATATTTGTGATGGTTATTTAAGTTGTTTGAAGATGTATATCAAATTTGAAGTGGGTGGCCTCACAATAAAATCGTTGTTGGTACACCATTTGCTATTATTGTTAACAGTGTCATGCCTCTTGATATGATATTTGCAAGTAATGCATGGCATAGAAATATTATTTCAATTCCGCCGGAGGCATCTATAAAGAATAATCCCATTATAGCAGAGTCGACTCTTTATAATATAATTTTGAAAGCTTGTTCTTATTTAGAATTTAGCTTTGATTGTACTTCCTTAGACACTTGTATAGAATTTTGATTCTTAATAGTACTAACATTTTTACTTTGTGTTCTAATGCTCTTTCTATGGAATAAATTTATGTTCCTTAATTTTTTTTGTTAAAACTTGAACAAGAATTTTACTCATATGGTGAATTTAAAAAATAATTAAATTGATTTCTCTTGCTAAATAATTAATTAAAAAATTTAATTATTTTATTTTAACATAAAAATAATTTATTCTATGTTGATTTAGATCTTAATATTAGTTCATCTCTTGTTTTGAATATTTAATCTTAATTATTATTTTATCCACCGTAAATTTTGATTTTCAAAGAGTAAAAGATTGATATGACATTTCACTTTTAGATCTTTATATTTGTAGAATCATTAGTGGTATTGACTCTGACCAACTATTTTTTTTCTCTTTCTCACACATTTATATTCTTAAATATTTTCTTAGTTGTTATTAATAATTGGATATTTTTTAATATTAAACGAAACAATGATAAAGACATATTATTTGAGTACGAAAATAGTTCAAATATAATATAAAAATATATTATTGTTGGGGTATTTTTTTCTCAGTTTCAACTCTTTATGCAGTCCATTTAATATTAGTTTTTTTTTGGTATTGGACATTATGGAGTGATAATGTATTGCCAATACGAAGGATTCTTATGAAATTGATTTTATTAAACCTTCCTACATATTTTTAATAAGAATTTAATAGACAAAATTTATTAATTTTAAAATATTAAATATTAAAAATTAGCGTAGAAGGTATTTTAGACCAAAAAATAAGTTATTACAATTATGTCATTTCCCTATGAGTTCTTCCGTTTAATATTTTAGGACTATTTTGGTATATAAATATTGTATTTATACTTGTATAATAATATAGGCTCTCCTTTTTCTAAATGAATTTGGACAATATAATACATTCTCAAATCAATTAAATTAGTAATAGGACAATATAATACGTTTTTAAATTAAATTAGTAATAGGAGTTTTTAAGAAATATATTCTAAACGCAATAGGATTACATGACTAAAGATATTTACTTGTTCAATTTTAAATGAATTAGACAGTCGGAAAGTAATTATACTAATAGGATTCCTAACATGTAGTATTATGTCCTAAAACTAATAGGATTGTAAGTCTAATATCTAGAATTCCAGTTATGTCCTTTTATTATGAGTTATTATGCTTAATATTATAAGGTTATTTTTGTAAACTGACATTGTATTTATGCTTTTATAATAATATAGATAAAAAATCATTATTATTTCGAGAATATTTTCATGGATCAATATTTGTTTGAAATTCGTGCTTCTATAGTAAAAGATAGAATCATGGCGCAGATTCGATTAACATAAGTGATCCTTTATTGCCGATTTATTTAATCTATATCTTAAAGTTAATTGGGTTAAAATGCAGATAAATAAATATAAGAACTAACATACACTAAGATGCATATGGCAATGGACTATTACATTAATGAGTCATCTCGAAACAAAAACTCAAACTAATATTTCTCAA